AATTAATTTTTTTCTTGTTGAGTGACCAAATCATATGGTTTGATTTTTTTTTCCTCTTTATTTTTTCATTTGACAAAGAAGGAAAAATTTAGTTTGTTACAGTCAACTAATTTCAGTTAATTGAAGCTCTGGTATATACGTATATATATGTGTGTGTGTGTGTGTGTGTGTGTGTGTGTACTTCCAAATAAGTATTGTCTTAACATAAACACACATGTATGTGTATATGTAAATACTTCACAAATAATTTTCTTAAATCTAAAGTTAAGAAAATTATTTGTGAAGTATTTTCATTTATAGATATTATAGTATTACTAATACTGAACTTCAAAATAGAATTCTCGGGCATCCTTAGAAAAACTTCTTATTCCATAACTAATTTCAAATTTTTGAGACACAGATGTTAAGTGTAAAGTTAATGGTTTTAAAATTTTGAGTTAATGACCATGAAAAACAATACTCCCTTTCCATTTGAACTGCCTTAAAACTTAGAATTGAATGCAGATCTTAGCTGCAGAAAGGTCTATTTTAGATTCTTCTAATAGCTGTCTCTTTGTTTTATTCATCTTTATTCTCGTTTACTTTCAACTGATTCATGCTAACTATGTATTTCAACATTTTGAGTAGCTTCATATTCTTTATGGAAATTACTAAAAGGAAAAAGAAAGATACGGAGGGAGGGATAAAAGACAGGAGAAAGGAAAGAGGAGAGAGGGTCTTGGAGAAGGAATGACAAACTCCGAGCTGAGCAGTGGCTTGCAAACAAGAAGGAGCCGACTGGAGGCGGATGGTTGGTGAGAAGGTACTTACAGTTGCCAGAGAGAAGAAATAAGATCTGGACTGAAGGTCATGACAGTGAGAAAGGAGATCAGGAGATAAGCTTAAGAACTTTTTCAGGTGAACAACTAAGAAGACTTGGAAACTCAATGGTCAGGATGGGAAATGATGGTGTTGTATAGCGGATTATCAGTGATGCTAAACATTCCAACCTCTCTGATCTCAGAAGAGATATGAAGACAGGGTGGAACAGGGGACAGAGATAAAAATGCCAGACATGGTGCTAGCCAATTTACAGAAAGTCCTTAACTTTACCTGAATCATCTTATTTAATTCCCCAAATAACCATCTGAGATATTGATATTCCTCTTTGCAGATGAGTAAATTTTAAAAGAGCAGGGTTTTTGTTGTTGTTGTTGTTGTTTGAACTGGTAATCCTGACTTGTACAGACATGAAAAACTCCAAAAGGAAACTCCCAAGCAGCTATTTGGCTCACCTAATTAACAAAGTCACGCAGTATGGATAATTCAGGTCAAAAAAGATTACCTCTCTTTCCTCATCAGATATCATGTTGTGATCTTGCATGTGTATAAGAATATGTGTTTGAAGAAGGAATTATTTTTACTGCAGAAAGTTTCTTCTTTGTGTTGGTTATGTAACATTAACTTCACTCATATAGCAACTTGGATGTGCCTGGAAAATAGCTCCATTATTTTGTCTATAACTATTCTGGTTCTCTTATAAATTTAGAGTCCTATGCATTTTAAAATTCAGTCCAATCCAATAATTAAAACCATCCCTTTAGGTAATGCTGTTTCTTTTGGAAAACGTGCCTAGTCTCCCATATTTCTGAGCCTTCTGTCCACTTCCAGGCACCCCTTCAAGTTGGTGTCTTGGTGCTGTCACAGTCTGAAAGTGGTAGGAAGAGCTGGCATTCTTCGGTGCACAGTCCTATTGACCCTCTGGTTTTGAAGGTGCTGTCCTTGTCCATTGCCTTGCTGGCACTTGTAGCTGATCTGGGCACCTTTTATGTTAACTTGGTCAACTCACCCTCTGCTTGGCTTTGGTTGGTGCTACAGAACATCTGTCTCTGCTTTATTCTCAAGTGCTCCCTGGTGGAAAGCCCAAAATGAGCCTCTGCCATGGAAGCACCTTGCCTGCCAGCTCGCAACTCAGCTGCCTCATCCGTTCTCCTGGGGCTTAGATGTGGGGGTTTGCAGAAATTCCTAGTTTCTATCCAGGCCACACTGAAACTCAGAGGAGTCTAGAAAGCCATTCCTCAAGGTTAATAGATGGGTTCTCAGGAAGTTGATATGGAGCAGCTCCAGAAGGTTTCATTCTAGAGTCAGATACAGAATTTGGGATTGCTTTTCTCCTGAGCTTCCCAGCACACAACTACTAAGAAAAGAGAAAGCCAGAAAGGGAAATTGAAGTGCAGTCTCAGATTGCTTTCCACCCTCTACCATCCTTAGCCCCCAGAAACAGAAGGGATGGGCTTAGCTCTCCTTTAACTTTGTACAGAGCCCTTATACATAGAGCAGCAAGTCTCATGACCTGGAGAGTTCATAGGTGGAAGGCATCCTCTCTTTATAATGAGAATTCTGATTGAATCCTCCAGGCTTAGTTTTGAAATGTTAAGTAGGTACTAAAGAATTTAGCAAATCCATTTACTCTCTACAAAGCCTGCTTTCAAGCTAAATTTTTTCTTTCCTAACCTAGAGCAGTAAGTTTTCTGGCTTGGCCTTGAAGATGAGACCAAAAAGATATGTGAGTTAGGGAATGCCATGAAATACACTGGTTAATATTTGCAAAATACTGTTCTTAGCACAGTTACATAAACACAGTTAAAAGTCCAGAAATCTATGTAGCTGAATGTGCAGTTTGCACTTTCTAGCTTCTGGTAAAATTAACATAAGAATCACTTTCTAATCCATTTCATCTAGCAAGTAGAAAAGGTGGAAAGCTAGTTTTACTGTAAGCAAAAGGTTGATAAGAACTTAGTAGATTATATTTAGTATACAGCCTATAATAAAGAGAAATAATTACAGCCATAGTGACAAAAAACAGGCAAACACTTCTTTCATCAACAAATAATGAATCAACAAAAAAGTGACGCTTACAGTGTAACGTTCCTGAGCAGTTTTTAAACTGGCAGTTTTAGAGATTGTTTTCTAAGTGTTTTGTCAGAAGAAAAAGCTTTAATAATTTTATTTTTTGAATGCTACAGTGTAGAGTTTTACATGATAGCAAAATAAATTCACTTCTGTTGTACTTTATTTTTTCTCATTTGATTTCACCATTTGTGGTGGGCCTGGTTAGATAGAAGGGAAAATTCAGTTACAGTAACACAAAAAATATATCTAGAAAATCTTGTGAATTCTTTAACGAAGATTCTGCATTTACTTTATTTGAAGAAATATGTCCTTCGTGGTGCAGACTAAAAATTAGAAGTACTGAATTTGATAACTGTAAAAGAATAGTGAATTACCCACTGTTGCATTGCATTGTATATCTTAGTCTTGGTATTCTATTCTAATTACAAGCCAAAATTTCTCCCAAATTCCAAGTTTACCATTAAAAATAAAACACATATAATGGCCACAACTCCTAAAATAGTCTCCTAAATTATGGGCACATTTATTCATGTTAACATGAGGTTTGCATTTTAATGTAGAGGATGGCGGTGTGGATTGCTTTTACGAATAATTTCATTTAAGGACAGTTTGACTTTGTAAGAACAGATAAAACCAAAGCCAATTATAACATGAACTCTTCTTCTCTCTTGTATGCATGGAACAGCATAAATAGAGAACCTTGTTCTTTACTGCACTTGTCAAATCTTAATGTTTAAAAGTCTTAAAATTCAAATGTATATTTATATCAACAAAAATTACACATAACAGATGGAATGCTTATAGCTATATTATTTATTTCCCCCTTCAATAATCATATGAGTATTTATCACTCACACAAAAGTATACATCTGTAATTTCTTTAGTCTCATTTCTTGAGAGATGTCAGTTCCTCTCTTCTTTCTTATGAACCTAGAAGTGCAGATGTAATAGAATATTCTCACCCATGTAATATTATTACAGGATTTTTTCTGTTGTTTCTGGTGGCTTAATGACAAAAGTGAAATTTTTAAGATGATTTTAAAATGTCTTCTTCAAGTAGTAATTTAGGCACCCCTTCTGAAGTGTAATTTGACTTGAGGAATTTGGTACATATTTGAATAGTGGACATAGGCTTATTAAAATTATATTTACATATGATATGATGCATAGAAATATTTTAATTTCAGGACTATACTTTGTCATGATTTCTGGAAATTTTCATTTTTGGAAAAGGGGATTTTGCTGACTTATGTACATCATGGTAATTATTGCTTTTAATGTAAAATATGGCTCGAACCTGAACTTTCTAGTAACTATACCAGGGTACCAATGATGTTCTTTAACTCTCCTTTGCTCTCTGTGAGGTAATATGCAATTTAGTATCTAAAACTATAATTATACATCATTGTCAAAATTTGTTTCATACATATATGAAAAAGAATACATTTTTCAATTAGTTATGCCTTCACTTTGTAAAGTTTCTTCTTAAAATCAACACAAAAATGAAAATGTGAAAATGTAAAAGATCTCCTTTTTTTAAACTATTATCCTCTGGTGAGATACGGCGGGGGGGAGGGTTAAAAGGGAATTAGTTACCATGATTTTTAATTTGTCTCAAGGCCTGTGGAAAGAAACTGGCTTTCTAGAATATACATGGTTGAGTATCGTACAGAAATAAATATCTCCCCCTTGGAATTTAAATTGTATCTAGTAGTACTATTTTTATACCTCTTACTAGGAAACGAAATACCTCTAAATTTAGTGCTTTGGAATTTTATTTCCACTAAAAATTTCTGCAGATATGTGAGCACCATAGTAACAGCTTTGCGAGCTGATTCTTCATTACAGTTCCCCTATAAGAGCTTCACTCAAGACAGTTCCTTTGGGATGACTGAGACTAAAAATCAATTCTGATAACATTAGAACAAATTTAAAAAAAAAAAAAAAAAAAAAATAAAAAACAAAAAAAAAAAAAAAAGTAAAAAAGAAAATCAGAGAAAGCAAGCATGCTATGAATAAATAGAGCTTCCCTTAAAATTTTTTTCAGTCAAAAATCTAAAATGCATTTTCTCAAAACTTTTTATTTCTTGTATTATTTTTATATCTAGGTAGGCTTTTTCTTGCCTTTGGAAAACATAAATCTCTTACCAGAGATATGAAATATTCAGCTGAATTGATTTATGGCCTGGTAAAGGTCTTTTCATGCTCTGCAATGACAATATTTTTACAAAACCTACAGGTAAGTAATATGGGTGTGGAAAGATGAATGCAATGAATCTATTTTAATAAAAAGTTAATAATCACTTCATTATTTTCAAGAAAATCATTGCATTTTAAAAAACCATGTAGTATACTAGACTGAGCTCTGATCTTCTTAGAGAGAAGTCTGTCAAAATAAATCAGGTTGATAACTGATTAGCAGAACGTGTAGTCTGTCATTTTTAAATATGTGCCCAATTTCTTCACATAAATCTTACCTTCAAAATCTTCAAGGGGAAAATTTATTTTGGGCACATTGGCCATGAATATCAGTTGACATTTATACAGTACATAGAATTTATACTGTGGGTTAGGATGTCAGCCATAAGTTTAGGCTGATAGTTTGTAAAGGGAAGATTCCATTCTGTACTGTTTATAAAATGTTACTCTGCAGTTCCGTGCTCCAAGACTAACAAAGTCTATCCAAGTATAGTCAAACACTGCAGTTTAACTTATTGCATTCATTAAACTAGGCTTAGATTGTCCTAATTATATGTTATCAACAATTAAGAAATGGATCACATGCCATCGACTGGCTAAAACATTCTGTATTCTTGGCTGGATGCCAGTGGAGGTGTCAAGTTCCATTCTACCTTGTCATCAGCTGCATCTCTGCTTTTGCAGTACAAGCAGCAGCTGTGCTAGACAAAATAATCTAAATTCTCACATGTACTTTTCCTTTAGGAAACAGCTCACACTGAATTGCATTTCTGGTGTGAATAGTACTACACCTGAGTGAGTTTGTGCTAAAACGTATTTTATGCAAATAATTTTTAACTGATATAATCTTTCATGACTTTCAGATGCATTTGTTCTATCAAAATAATGGTCTTACTTTTCATGCTGAAATTATTACCAAATGGGTTCTGTGGGCAGCAAAGTACTCTGCTCACTCGGCAATGATTTTCCTATACCTCAAATTACATAATTTTATAGGTGCTCTGTTTCAAAGGAAAACAATGTTTATTGATCCAAGTAGTCAAAATTAATCATGGATTTCTGATCTCAAAACTCCTGGCAAAATCCTTTTATTCAGGACACCCATATGCTACATGCTCAACACTTCACAAATCCTTGTGGGATGATGGGTTTTTCAGTCTGATTGTTCAGTCTAGCGCTGCTTCTGAAAGTAGAGATTCAGCAAGGCTTTCCCCCTAGCAGATGCAGGCCCAGCCAATGTTACGAGAAACTAAATTTGACCTGACTTCTGCTTCACATTGTCATCTTTGTTCTTGGTAATGTAAAAATGCGTTTTAGAAGTTGTTCTCCTTTCCTTGTGTCTGACAGAGGGAAGATCCTCCCGCAGCAGCAGGTGTGTGCTGCAGCAGGATCTGACAGTCATGGTGCCAGGGCACCATGCTAAGTAAATAGACCACAACAACTGGGTCTCCTTTGCTCCCTGAATAGTTCCTGTACTACACAACCATGGAAAGCTAGTCCGCATGAGAGGCAGGGACTTTAACGTTCATTACAAAGCTTATGTATGTGTTGACATTCATTTTCAGGTCACCAATTTACTTGGTTCTTAAAAGCTTTACTGCATCATATAAGAATCAAAGTGGAGGGGTCATGCCAAGTCCTTACTCAGAAGGAGAAGGTAATGGAAGAGATGCAGAACACTCAGGCAAGTTCTCTAGTTTATATACAGCTTGTCCTAGGCCATTTTATAATGGCATCTGCTGAGACCACATCCTACTGGGTCATTTAACTTTTCAAATTTTGCTTCACATTGAGAAATCCTTGTAGTCCTGTGCAACTCACAGAAATATGCCAATAAATGTCTTCACCAAAACCAACTTCCTGGAAATAATAATTTTCTTTGTTTTTGCAAAAGATTTTTTTTTTTTGTCCTTCAGTAGATGATCTATCTAGGGATCCCAGCAAGTGATCCTAAGAGAAAATATATTCTGTTTCATCCAGGTAATATATCAGTCTCTCTGCTCACAAGCCAGCCAATCAAATACTATAGTCCCATCATTTATATGCATTCCCTGTCTCTCTCTCTCTCTCTCTCTCTCTCTCTCTCTCTCTCTCTCTCTCTCTCTTTCTCTCTTCCTTTCCATCCCTCCTCTCTGCTGTCTGCTGTCATCTCTCTGATCTTGGGTTAATGCTATGTACTAGGCTAAAAGAAATCTAAATAATCAGTTCTTCTGGCCATTGGACAACATAAAAATCTTGGTGCAATAATGCATTGGTAGTGTGTTTGCCCATTTGGGTAATTAGTTATCTAGGCACAAGGGCAGTGTCTGCCCCTAGTAATTTCTTAGTCTCTATTTGCTGGCTGAGGACTCTGAATTGAATTGCTTTCTTTTTATATAACCTATTTATCTAAGTGCATCTTTCACTCTGCTTGTGATTTTTGACTTTTGGGGAAGTTTCCCAAGAGATGTTTAGCATTTGGTTGTCGGGGGTGGGGGGTGATTAAAATTCGCTTCCCTCTTCAGATTATTTTTCTTCTTTGTTGTTGTTAGAAATAACATTTTCACCATGTACTTTTTAATTATCTATTTCCTATCTTCTTACATCTTTATTTACTCTTTTGAAACAGGCTGTTTTGCTCTCCTTTGTCAGCTTTTTCCTCTCCTCTTACTCTCTTTTATGTTACCATTTAGGTTCAGGCTAAATTGCTGGGACAGCTGCTTTCTTTGACCTCCTCTCGACTTTGCTGACCACATCACCAACTGGCAGGGTGTGGTGCCTTAAGACCTTCCAAAAGACTTGCTTCCAAATGGAAATAATGGAGTAACATTTTATATGATCAAACATGAGAGAATTCCAGTAATTTTAAGCATTTTAAGGTACATTCAGCATATTGCTCAAATGATTACTAAAATTTTGCATCTGAAAAGCAGTCAATCCCACATTGAAACTGCTTGTAGAATACACGATTCAGAGAGTGGTCATTGGTTAATGACAGCAACAGAAGGAAGCCCTGGGAGCCATCTAGCAGGGAACCCCTTTTCTTCCAGAAAGTAATACATCTAAGCTCTCCTCTGTAGAAGACTGTTTTGTCTTTCCTTAAGAAATGTAAAGGAAAGAATTTTTATTATATTTCTGTCTATTGTCTTATGACTTTTACAGCTATTGAATTATTTGAACCAAATCCCGTTCTTTTTATTAGCCTCTTCTTTCTCACCACATTTACGTACAAATATACACATACTCACAATATAGTGGGGAAAACAGGCTTTTTGGTCAAATCTGTATCATTAGGAGGAAAATTATTTTTTCTGACCATAGAAGTATAGGTTTGATTTTATAAATTTTAAAATACTTAGAACTAGAACCAAATTAGAGTTTGTTAATGCTGAGATTTCTCTTTTTTGAATGAAGAGCTCAGTGCATCATTTTTTGCCACTTTCATTCTTCATTTCATCATCAACCTTCACTTCAGCCACCATGCAGTAAAAATGTTTGCAAGTAGGCTCTGGTGCTTCCACGAGGTATACCCTGCTGCTCAGGGGGAATGCATGGGACGGAGGGAGGCCCTTTTATACTCTGTGGCCGGCAGGAAAAATCACTGAAATCCTCTTAGATATTAGAGGGGAATATCCTGAGCTATTCTGAAATCTCAAAAGGACTAACAAAGTTCATTCCATTTGTCATTGAAATGTGACAGTGATGTAGAACAAAACCTTTCCGCAGTGGGGGCTGGCTGCACTGAATTCCTTTTGCAACAAGGAAATTAGGTCAGAAGAAATTTAGGTCAACACCTTACAGAGATGTCCCCATGCCTGAGAGGAGCCAGGAGAACTTAAAACGTTCCACACAGAAAGGTTATTGTTTTTATATTTAATTTGAAAAATGGTACCTTCCAAAGCTTAGTGTGATATAAATTCAGCTATGATTCAGCAAAGAAAATTACCTTTTGCATCACTAGCACTGCTTCTGATAAATCTAGACACGATCCTGAGGTGCTTATAACCAAGCCCAGCTGACACAGTTTAATCATGCAATTCAAGAAATATCTATCAAGTCTTGATTATGTGCAATTAACCTATTAGATAATGTAAAGGTTGTAAAGATTAATAAGTACCTCCTCCCACTAACCACATCTTTACCATTAGGAAGTGAAAAGCTAAGGTGGAGGAGAAGGTTATGGGGTAGATTAAAATGCATATAGCCTATAGGTCATTGATTCACTCATCATAGAGCAAATGAACTCCTACTGTATGCCAAAGACTATGAAAGTGATATACAAGAGTTAAAGTAAGTGATTCTGGATGGAGAAGAGAAAGAGGTTGGGTTGGTTTGGGATTAAAAAAAAGGAATGATTTCTTGAAAAAAGAGCAGTTTAACTGAACTTTAAATAAATATATATAATTTCAAAAGATGGTGGTAGGTAAGAGGTCCCTGAGTGGAAGTGGTGGGAAGAGGGACACAGTGGGTGGGGATGCCTGGAGGAGGGTAGGCAAAAAGACCCCATGGCTGAGAATGTTAGGAGAGAAAAGCATGTGCTATGGCAAAGGGATAGACAAGTACGTGCTGTATTTGGGCAACAAATAATGACCCATGTTGATTACATTGACGACAAAAGGCAGAAATTGAAGTAGTTAGAAAGGGTAAGTCAGAAACCTAATTAGACATACCTTGAATACCAGACTGGGGAGTGGCATGGGTGGAGTGAGCTATTCTGTGGCCCCGTGGAAAGGATTCTGGTGAAATTCTTGGTGACTTGGATGGCTCTTCTGACCAATTACGATGGCTGAATACAGGTTAGGAAAGTTATTCCACAAAACCTAAACTATTGTTCTGGAATGTCTTTAGATATGAAGTTACTTGATCAACATCTCTACTGTCAATATTGAATGTATATTTCTTAAGCGAAACAAGTGGAATTTTACTAAATCCACTTTTTAAAGTATCCCAACTGAAGTCTAATTTGGCGTTTGGCCAGTTTAAACAAAAAAATGAATGAGAAATATAAAAAATGAGCACGGTTTTATTTTCATTGGTTATGTGACCACCTTCTCACTACATACATCAGTTAGCGAAGTCTGCTTTCAACTGTGGAAATTTCATTATCACATCTAATTCTGGTTTGGTAGCACATTAAACTTTCAAACAGTTAATGACTCTGGTTTTCTTTCTGTTCAGCTTTACCTTTCATAAAAGCACCGGCAAGAGGAAAGAAATGACAGTAAGACTGAATTATGAACTTTAAAAAGTTGAGAACAAGTAACTACTTGTACTGTGAAAGCTGCTCTCTCTGCTCTTGATTAACTGTCTGCAACAGGTCAGTGGTGAGCACTGTGTACCGTGGCGATGATTGTTGCAGCAGACAGGCAGAGTAAATCACAGGGATGGGTGGGGGACCCAACGGGAGGAATTTCTTTTAGCCTCCTATTTAATACATAGAGATTACCGAAATTCCGCTTTCATAAAATGGTTCATTTCACAGACTTATTTCCAATATCTTCCACAGATCACAATTTTAACAAAAAACAAAACAGCATTTGAAGTGAAGAATAGATTAGTTTTTGCCTACCTTGAAGCTCTTTGGAAATTGGTGAGTGAGGACATTTTTAAGATTCGATCCCAGAAATTTGGAGGTGGGGAGCAGGAAGAAGTTGTACATATGTATGTATGTATGTTCATATACTCTATATATGATATGTATGTATGTATATGCACAGTTTCATATATAACACACATATTTACACACACATGCACGCCCACAATTTATATTTTGATGGAAGAAAGGAAGAAATATTAATCGATCTCTTACTTTATTTTTCTCCATTGAGGTTGGTTCTAATATCTTTCCATTTTAGATGAATTTGAGGCTCAGAGAAGGTAAACAAATTAAATAAATAAATAATTTAATTACATAAATTAAAATAAATGTATGCCCAAATTTAAAAAGCCAGAAAGTTGTGGGATTCTAATCTAGGCCTAACAGGTCTCCAAAGCCCAGAATCTTTGTCCTCTGATCCCCTGCTTTCCTATCCTTATTCTCCTGCTAGGCTTATATCAAAAAGTGTCAAATGGTTCTCAAAAGAAATACAATAAAGTGAGTAAAAATGACATAAATGTGTTAAAAAGATGTTCCCTAGCCAAAGTGAAGACCAGTGAAGAAAGAAAACACCATGAGGCTGGATGTGGATTTAGTGACAAAGATGACTCTCCGTTTCTTATCAGCCAAGTGAAAGAAAGAAATGTGAACAGTCATTCAATATACAAATGAGTTACTTGGAAATACCCCCAAATGACAACATTACAGCTTTATGTGGCTTGTTTCTTACAATGCCTTTTGGTTATGATGTTTGGTACAGCGCTGGGATGGTCCAGTTCAATTTCTCATTTCATCATTATAAACTCACGCATATGTATGCATGATGCACACATGAACTCCTAGGCACAAAAGGAAGAAACAACATGTTGGATAATGAATTCACACCTCAGGCTGTATTCATTTTTACTGGAGAGATAAGCTGTCATGGCTGAGAAAATACTGTCCTGTAAGAGGACTGATCTAGTAGCAGACTACAGAGAATCTTTACACCATAGTCACGCCATCGACACGTGTGTGCATGTTAGTGTGCCTATGTATGTGTCTTACAGCACCCTGTTATATGTCTTTGTCTTGCTTTGCCATCTATTTATTATTCTCAGTTGCTCGTGAAGAAGCCTTTCTACATACCTTCAAATGGCAATTATTTCATAACTACACCGCTTTCATCTAGACCTTTATATGTTCTGAGAATGGAGTCCATGCCATTGGGAACATTTGTAATTGCAAATGAATACCCTTTTGTGCATTGGTTAGATAGGATGACTTCTAAAGATGAGGGTTGTCGAGAACAGTTTGCAGACTGAAGATCTGCTAGATAAAGTAAAAACTAAGGAACCTGATGCTGGCTCCACAGTTGTCAGACTCGTTTTTAGTCTGTAAAAAAAGACTAGACTTCAAGTTCATTTTATTTGATTGTGTGCAATAGTGTTCCAAGAAAATATAAGATTACTTTCTCTCTTGTTTGCCTTGATATATGTACTCTATAGGGAATTATAATTATAGAAAAAAATCTTCTTCTTCTTTATTAAATCTAACTTAATATAAACTTGCTGTTTAGAAAAATACTAAAAATGAGCTTTGCTAGCTTGATTTGTTTTTACAGAAATACTGTCAACTTAATAGAACTGAAAGAAAAATCAAAATATTCTTACATCCATTCTGAATCTAACATTCTCCAGTATATCGAGAAGCAGGCTCCATAAAAACTGCTAAGCAAACTAGGTCACAGATAACAAGGTAGCAATTAAAATGACTATATCAATTATTTGGTTATTTCCTAATATTTCACTCTGTAGGATCTTTTATATAGGACCCCCATTTAGTACTCTACTAAGGAGAGAAAACTGTTTTTTAACATAACATTATTTATAGAATCATTTAAAATATGTTGAATGGGAAAAAAGCATTCATTAAAAAGTGGGGGGGGGGGTTGCGAGATTACCAGAGAGATCTCATTTAGAAATACCTTCAACTAAAATGATTAAATTATAGTTGATGTGGTAAAGAAGAAATTTAATATGTTACCTAAAGAATATGATTTGGAATATTTTAGTTTCTCTTCTCTCTGCTGTAGGAAATATGCTTCCTCCAATAGTGCATTGCTGGCTGCACTTTACATCGGTGCTTTTCCCATTGTTGGTCCTGTCTCAAATCTAGATTAACCCATTAATTTAAAAACCTGGACCTTTTACAATGTTCTAGGAAACCAAGCCTGAGCAACCAGAGACTTGCTCAAATGATTTTTATCGAGCCTGATCTGTTTATTTAACTGTTTTTATTTGATCCTTATAATTGAATTTTTATACCCTCCCAAAAGACAAAACCATGTACTTTGAATTGTACTACCATACATTAAAATGGGTTGTTTACAGCGTTCTAATGTTACCAAACCTCTTTATGGCTTTTTGGAGCCAGTTCTCCTGAGATTATGTTTGGCTGTCGGAGGGAAGTCAATAGGAGCAGGGGTTTCAAACTACACCAAAGAGCTGAGTAAGATTC